TGTGTTGAGGTGAAACATGGGCTGCAAAACCCCTTTGGGAGAGTTTTGTGCAAAAACTATTTGATAAACTTCACAGGACACGCTATGGATATCACTTCAGGTTTTGCTAGTCCCACATGCACTGCCTGTCATATTTACCAACCCAGATGCAACACCGGGCCAGCAGCACTGCAGAGACATTGTGGTTTTTTGATCCATGCCACTTGGTGAATCCCTTAGATTTGTTGCGGCCTCTGCCACGTAATGAAATCCTTGAGATCAGTGTTTCTTTCAACCACAACAATATCTGTTGCAAAATGATGGGGTTTTATTTTTGTGGTGCTATTGCACATGCTCCCTTGCACAACAGGTGGGGGTACAGCCCAACCAGACCTGGCTATTTGATGTGGTGGTACTTGACACAGAACATTGCAAGTCTCGGGAATTTTTCACATGTTGAAGCACAGCACAACTGAAACTGTCCCTTGTGTGGAGTGTTGTGTCACTGGCACAGGGTTGCCAGATGCCTCAATTTCTATGTTGTTGAAATCTGAGAAGTATCTGAGACGTATGGGTTGTCTACCTTTAGGTGGGGTTTCTAGGAGGTGTTGCGTTGAGGCAAGGTAGGCCTAGACAAGTTCTCAAACAGTCTCCAACCATGCACACCTCCAATCTTGATAGCTCTGTCCTTGTGGTATGTTGTAATTTACCCAGTTTTTCCACTCACAGAAGTCTTTATTCCTATCAATTTCTCTACTCCTCCCTTTGTTTGATATTGTCTACTCGTAAATGTGGCCAAAAGTTGCTTCAGCCATTTACCCTTCATATCTCTATTCCAGAGATTTGGAAAATGATGTCCCCTGGGGTACCCATTTTCCCGCCAGGGAACCTATTTAATGCTGGCAGTGCAACAGAGGTCCCCATTCAGGGTGGATTCTGTCTTGTTTCAATCTAACACGGTGTTAATTGAAGCTAAATCATCCGCAAGCGGCCTCCGATATCCTTCAACAAGCCTGGAACCCAGATTCAAGTCTAGCCATACCTGCGACACATCCAAAGTATCTGGAACTATCCCATTTGTACTTCGAGATTGAGGATAGGTTACAAAATTCTTCTAATACTAAGAAATACGTGCGTCAATACCTGCTATGAACAACTCTCACTCACTGAAACAGATGACTGAAAAAAATAATGCTCTTCACCTTCACCAGGAGTTTACACCAGAAAGTTGTCAAGACGAATTCACCATCAATGATATTTTGGATCTGGTATATATGTATGGTCAAGATTTTCTGTCTCGAGAGCAATCACAAGATGCCATCTTGCTTTTGGAGGGGGAGATAAGTCGCATCACAGCAGAAAACAAACTATATGAATCAAAATTGAAAGAAAGGATCGTCAAAATCCACCTACTTCTTGCCGAGGTGTATTTGCATGTTGGCCAACCGCTCCAGGGAGAAGAGATTTTAAAGCGAGTATGGGATGCTGGAAGCCGTTTCTATATCAATCATCTTGATAAAAATTATCTTTGGATGGCACAGCTTTATAGGCAAACCAGTAACAAAGAGCAGTGCGACACCACGTCTTGCAGACATCGAGCCCAAAAAGGAAGGGAACCCACACTATACAAAGTGAGTTTGGCCAGCGCGAATATCCTTATATGCCAAAAGAGAGCTAATTAAAATCTCGACTCCCTTAACCAGCGGCTTGCTCTGACCCCAATGGCTATTCCGGCCAAGATCAAGAGTCATTGGAAGTCTTGCATGTTGTATTTTCATCCAGATAAGGGTGGACACACTGGCGTAGCACAACAGGTAAGCTAGAATACAACCTATGTGCATCATATCTTGAATCTCATAATATTCCTTTGTTTCAGATTACGGCGGCTGCTACAGTGTTACTTGATCCAGAGAGTCGTCGCCAATACGATTTAAAGATTAATGCTTGACGAGTCTTCCAATGAGAACAGATGAGGACTGTACCCAGAGTTTCATATGCTTGTGTCGCTGGACTTCTTATTGATTGTGTGTGTAGGACTATGTGCGTAGAGAGTTGATTGATTGTGGGTTGGTCTATGCGCGTAGAGAGTTGAATGATGTGGGGCACGGGCTAGCGTTTTTCATCTGCTACGTGATAATGTATGATAGGCCAGTCCGGTGTTGATTGTTTTGCTGGATAAAATTTTGAAGGGATCCACTTCTATCTTACTTTTGTATGAATATGAAGAAAACATGGGAGTGGGATGTTCGAGTCTATCGATTTTGATTTTCTAACTGAATCATTGACATCGACGCTGGCACACCTATACTGCCCATAGCATGCACCGTAGCACAGCGGCTCCATGCTACGTGATAGGAGTGGGATATCTGACACTTTTCATGTCAACATGTGGCTACTGCCTTAGCTTAGAATCCGTAGAAGAATAGGGCCCTTTATAACATGGCTTATTGAAAAACATTTGAAAATGAAGAATGAAAAACCTCATATATACAAAGAGATGTCAATTTAGACAACAGGTATAAGAGGAAGTTAAATGAGCTGTGAACTGGAATTCGGTGTATTCCGAGAGTGATAAGTTATGGATTTTCCGAACTAAGTAGTAAATTGGTGAACACCTTCAAGGGTTGGGGTAGGCAAAATCAGGCGAGTTGTTTTAGACTTGATAGCAGCTGCCTCGGAAAGCTGGTTGAAGCAAGCAATGACCTGGCTCATTGCGCGAAACTCGTCTTCGATTGCTAGCTCACGACACGCCACGTGATTTCCAATAATTTCAGCCTGAAAATTTAATATCATCAGCAATTTATCTAGCCTTTAGTCAATCTATAGATACACTTACTCGAAAATGTTTCGCATTGCCCTCAAAGGTCACAAGAGTTGCACGGAGGTCTTCGAGCTTCGTCGCAATCGACCTTAATGTTGATGCGCTTGCTGAAGTCATTGCAATATTCCTATTGAGCGATTGACTACCCCAGCTTCCGAAGTTCATTAAACGTTTCCAAATTGGGATGCCAGCCTTGAACTTTCGTAGCTGCATGTTTTCCTCTGCAAATTGAGCACCGACACTCGCAGCGAAATCCGAGCCTCTCCTGGCCAGGGGAATGGCATCATCTATCTGCGCTTGCAGGCCAGAAAAACCTTCCGATATGGTTTGGACCAGATCACCAAATCGGTCATATGCTGATGTAGTCGAGTATTTATCTTCCCCATCAGCGATGGAAGTCAGTACGAGTCGGATCACTTCGAGCTTGGGTTTCACAATTTGAATGTCAGTTCAGGGCTGGACCACCGTTAAATCGTTATCAATTGTTCAAGAAGAACCGATGCTCTCACCTTCTGAAAAACCTTTCGCAAAAATGAGATACTCGCACTGTTCAACAGATTCACCTTGTCCCTCACATCTCTGGTCGTCTCACCAAGGTTTTGAATACATTCGGCAAGGTGGTCTTTCTTCTCTAGTATGTCTGATGCAGCGATGGCCTGAGAAAGCTCTAGTATTTCATCTTGGTAAAGGCGAACATGATTAGGATTTCCAAGGTCAAGAATCAACTCGAAGATATCACCAGCGGACCGTGCAGTCGACGTGACAGTGTTTGATAGTGAAGCCACCTTTCTCGAGTGACTATGGCCTTTGGGTCCACAGAAATAAGGCCCACCGATATACGTACAGTACCAGTACGAGGCTGTCGGAACGCGAATACTGAAACTCCTGATGAGGTACTGGTGAAGAGCTTTGGGGATAGCCGGAATCGTTACCACGAACAAAGCCAATGCAGCCCATCCAAGAAGGTGTCTTGACACGGCTAATTGATTCATTATCCTGAAAGCGTAGAAGGGAATTTGGAGTATACGAGTAATCTGTCAGTCACAAGCTCAATATCAGAACGAGTCTTGGCCTCACAAAACACGTACGCGAATAAGAGATTGTATGTTTCCAAAGGGTTCGAAGGCTTGATCTGAGCCACGAGTCGAAAAGTTGAGATGAAAAGGCTGAACTCACCAAGATTCTGAGTCTTCCTACCTCAGATAGTCGAGTATTACTCCGCGTATCCTTTGTCGGTCAAAATTTTTCTACATTAAAGGGGGGTATACGTTGAAGCGAAGCATTAAAGATCAAAGGGGTCTATCATGAAAGTTTGAGAATTTTCGGGAACTCAGGTTTACGTTCGTACCTTGACGTAATCAAGTAGACACAATACGCGTCGAAGCAGTTTAAGTTGACGTCTAAACGAGTGGGTCTGAGTGAGAAGTAAATAGAATGTGAGTTTCGCGACCTCAACAAACCTACACAGCTGAGTTTCAGTTGAGGCTCAGTCATTTCTGGAGTTGCAGCTGGTTGATCCTCTTCGAGATGTGACATCCGCTCATCATGTTTGATTTGTGCAAACGGCTCATGACACAATAGCCACGAGTACGAGGCTCAGTGGCTATTGCTTGAAGACTGCGTATGATGGCGGACTTCCTTGAGCAAAGACATAGCCTGATGATGTAGCCTAACCCACCGTATTTATTAGAGGGCTCCCCCAGCTTCTGCAATTTCAAAGTGTATAGAACTCCTACATAGAAAGATCCATCTAATTCTTCACAAAAACCCTTTGCTTTATCGTAAATTGAACTGCCATGGCTATGATATCTAGTTATGATACATCTTCACCGAATATGAACCCCAACTGGCTGGCATCCAGCATGGAAATATCCCCCGATGGAAAAATGAACGATGCAAAACTGAATGATACCAAACTGAACACGCCCGAATCGAATTCTCTACCGGACCACAAGGCCGAGCGTAATCAGCGTCACAGTTTTCAGATACGGTATATAGCACTATCTTCTATGGTACTGATCCTGGCTTGGTATTTATTTCAGGGGTAAATTGTCCCATACTTATTTTTGTTATCATTGAATCTTGCTCACTCTCACAAATATGATATCTCGTGGTTTCCTAGAAGCTCATCAGCTATAAACGTTGACCAGCTAAAAGAGGCGACAAATCAAATAAAGTCAGGTCGTGCATTGGGAGAACTTCGCAAGATTCAACACACCCCGATCACATTCATCCAATCAATGAAGTCTCTCAGTAGCTGTGAGAAAGTG